CATTTCGGTTCTCACCCAAACGATGAAGGAGCTTCTTGGATGAGAAGAGAAACATCTTCAGAGAAAAATCAGAAAGTCCAATTGCCTCTTGAAAAACCATCTTCGGGATTCTTCTCAAGTTAAAGTTAGAAGAAGAAAAAAAAGCCTTTCCTTCTCTCTGGTGTTTCATCTCAAATTCAAATCTCAAACTCTATAATTTTAGGCTGTATCTCTGTACAGGTAGTCTTCACTTTACAACAGTTCGGCTAGTGGCCGTTTGAAGTTAATGCACTGAAAAAAGTAACATGACTTTTTCACACTTATGATCACATGATTTACCTTCGGATACTTCATAGCTGTCTCACGCATATGACGGTTGCAGTGTCCTGTGGTCTTGTGATCAGCTTTTGCAACCTTCTCACAAAGTAAATGAGGAAATCAGGTTTACTTAACAACTGTGTTACTATTTTAACAACTGCAGTTATTTATTTAGGAAATGTGGCAAGAAAAGTTGCAAAATGGGCAAAAGTCAATTAACAAATTTCTCATTTAACAACATAAATTTTGGGATCAATTGTGGCCGTAAGTTGAGGACTACGTGTAGATGTTGGAGATGGTAGAAACTTGAAATGAATAAACTGAAGCTATGTTTGGGAAGGGAAGGATCCACGTGTACAATTTTGTGATTATTTTTATTAGAATCCATTCAGAGGGCAAATCAGAGGGTGGTAATGTTCAGGTTTTCCAAGTCTATTAACCAGTAATGGTTCAATAATAAATAAAAATAAGTAAATAGATAAATACAGATAGTCTTTCTCTAACAATGGTGGTTGGGATTGGAATTAGCATTGCTGTCCATTTATGACTGATACAGTCATAAAGCATAATGTCAAGTAGCCACATCACTTAACGATGGTAATCACAACAGTCCCTTTTGCCATCATCAAATGAGGATGTTTTTTAAGCATGGATTTCCTCACAACTTCTTGCCAGCTCCAACAAGTAAAGTCAATGAGGAACTGGCAGGAAGTTCCAATTCCCAGGTGACTCACAAGCAGGCCAGTGAGCAAGTAAGTTTTAGTATGGGAAGGCTAAGATAAAAGCTAGGATAGGAATGGCTAATATAGGATGCAGGAGAGCCTACAGACATATGCTATGGAGTTCAGGTGGTGATGCGATAGGTGGATGCTATAGCTGGATGCATCTTTGGCATCCCATACCTTGCAGCCAGATTCCTTGGAGAAAAAGCAGTGGGAAGAGAAGCACTGATTAGAACGACTTGCACCATTCCCTGCCAGCTTCATTGATTTTTCTTGTGGAAAGCTGGCAAGAAAGATTGCAAATGGTGATTATGTGACTGCAGGGTTCTGTAACCATCGTAAGTACGAGCAGGTTGCCAAGTTTCTGAATTGCAATTATGTAACTGCTGAAGTTCTCGGACAGCCACAACTCTGAGGACCAGTCATAAGTACCAGTCATTCAATGCCTTTGTAACTTTGAATGGTCGCTGAACAAGTAGTAGTTCACTGAAGACTACCTATAAATATATTGAAATGAATAAACAAATAAACTTTATGCAAAGATTGACAGCAACATTATGCAATAAAAAAACGTTTTGAATATTTCTGTAGAAACGTCATTTCTGTAGAAATGTTTAAAGCCCTATGTTGTTGGGCTTCGTTGTTGACCATGTACACACACAGCTCCACTTGTGCAAGTGGCTTGTGAACACACTCGTCCATGAAACTATATGAGCAGCAGGTGCACGCAGCCATCACTTGCGCAAATGAAACTATAGTATGCATGTTCACATGGAACCATCCCCTCCCCTCCGCTGGGTCCACCAGTCCGAAAAGGTTGGAGACCACTTCTATGAAGAGGCAATTGACAGTTAAGGGTTCCTGTTATATGAACCTGAACTCGTATCTTTCACTGTTTGTATATTTTTTTGCTAAATACATCTATGCACATTTGCCATTCATTTGCTAATAGAGCGTGAAGTTATCTTCTCGTTTGGAAGATGGGAGTGAATTGGAGAAAATAATTGAGTGTATAATATGGAGCAAGTGTCAATTTTGCCACAGAGCAGCAGTGTTTATTGTGATACATGGACTCCCAGTCTTTAGGCAATATTTCCAGAAATGGTATGCATCAACTGAGCGAGGAGAGACTTGAAAAACCTGCTGCTCCAACATCCTTTAGCATTAGCATTAGCCAATCCCCAGGAATACACTTTATCTGATGGATAAGAACATTTCAATTTGTGTTATTGTATTAAGCAGATAAAATGATATTAAGGACCTCTATGTTTACTCCTGTTTTTATGGTGAAAGAGTTGGGTGGTATATAAATGTAATACATAATAAATAAACAAATATAAATTTAATAAATATACAGTAACATGGTTTAGAATTTTTTTTACAATGATAAGAACTTTGGAATAGAGAATTGGAGTAGCCCATATTATACAATTGGTGGCTTTGGATTTTAAGGAACATTAGTTGCTTTATGCTGTTTAAAAATTTGGTTAGTCCACCATAAGGGGAGAAAATGGAGAGGGATTTATTGTACGCTGTACAATGAATGTTTAAAAATTTTACTTGTCCTACTTTCTATGCACAAGATGAATAAATCAGAAGGAATCCTAGTGCACAGTTTAACTTTCTTATGATGGGGCTTTGGTGCTCTCTGAGCTTGATTGTTTTCTTGCAGACATTTATTTCATTACCCAAATTAGATAACATCATCAGGACTAGAACGGAGTAGGGTTTGCTCTCAGTTTATGTTCTAATCTAGTGGCTTGCGCGGTCAGTACTAAAGTGTGTCCTAGAGGTTCTTTGGCTGGGCTATTTAATGTTTGGTAGTTCCTTCACTGGGGATATTGTTTACTTGATTGTTGGTCTGATGTTAATCATGAATCTATGCTCAATTGAGTGCCGATTGCAGATGGGGAAGTATTTGGGGTCTTTTTGTTCCCTTTTTAGCTTGCATAGTATATAGTTGTTTATGTCTATGTGTCTATTGATGGTTAATTTGTCAGAGTGCTAGGTTTCTAAAACTTCCCTAGCATTTGGACTTGACTTAGTTTAGGATGGTCAGTTTCCCAATTGAAACTATGGTTAAGTCACTTCATGTGTAGATAAATTAAAAAGTTTTCATCGTGACCACTAGTTGGTTTTCATGGATGCGTTCTGCCAGTCTTCTGCTTGTTTGTTCTGTATAGTGGCTGTTGCCGTCATTATACTATATATGTAAATGACTCCTGTTTTTTCTTCTGGGACTGCTGGGTCTTTTAGTTTACTTAGGACATTTTGAAGGGCTTCAGTTGGCTTGTAATTTTGTAGGTGGCTACAAACATTATCCTTTGTTAGTAATTTTCTTTTGAGTTAGATATTACTACTTATAGAGAATTGGGTTCCTGCAGGGAAATTAAGGGTCAATATATTAATGTATTATCAAACTATCTTCTAAAAATTGGTGCTCTCAAGTTTTGAAGAACTGGTGTTTGAATTGTTGTAAAAAAAGGCAATTCCATATTTCTGGAAGGATATTTCTATACCAAAATCTAAACATTGGCTTAGTGAGCTTGCTAAACTCGAAGCATATTTTCTTGCAATGGTACAAAATGTTTGCTATTGTTTCCTTCATTTTTTTTTTGCCTTCCCAGCATAATACGGTATTCAATCCTGGTATTCCCCTGTAATCTTCTATTCAGATACTAAGCAAGGCTGACTCGGCTTAATTTCTGAGCCCAGGCAAAAATCACTTCTTGAAGCAAAGGTCCACAAAGTACTTTTAAGTATTTCTCAGTCTTTCTGTGTAATATCACATTAGTGGCCAGCTTGGTCTAAGCAATTATGTAGCCTTTCAAAAAGATTTTAGAAACACCCGGCACCAATTAGAATCATCACTGTATTCAGATCTCCGTAGTTATAATTGAGGAATATACCTACAGAAGGAAAGAATAGATCAGTTCTGTTCCATCTTGTTTGTTGCTTTCAAGGTTTGTTTCAATAAGGCTTTTGTCCGAGATTTGGCACTAAAACAATCTTCACTGGGAAAAGAACATTGAATGTATACATTTGTTAATTCTTTTGAAACTTTCAGAAACTTTTCATACTAACAGTGGTATCATTGTGCGGATAATTTGAGTTCTGTGTGGGTGCTCTCGTGGTTTTAGCACTCCTTGTATGCCATCTCCAGAAATTGGTGCTGCTTGTAGGGTTTGGGGGAGGCATTTAAACTCCATAGCAACTATATGCTATTCTGTCTTATCACCCAAATTATTCATCTTCTGTATAGGTCTGGTAAGTAAAATCTTTCAGAGCTGTAGGATTCATCTGCATGTTTCACTTCCATGACAAGAAGCAATGCCATTTCCTATGCTTTATAGCATATTTCTTGGCATTACAATCACTAGCAGAGTCTGACACTTATCTAGTTTTAGATATTTGGGAGGAGAGGTGAAATTAACAGGAGTTCTGCTAGTTTCTCCTTCTAGCCCAAGCAGAATAGTAAAACTGTAGAATAATAAAACTGTGTACTAGTCTTTTGCAATATTGGTATATCTCTATCCAAAGATAGGCCAGCTTGTGGGTGTGTAGACTGCAGCACTCCTGGGAGCTTTAGTCTACATCCTTCCTTTCCCATCAAACTGTCAAGTGGGCTATTTGGAAATAGAGGTTTCTCAGTCTTACAGAAGGCTGGTGGACTGGCAGATTGTCAATTGCATTTTGAGGAGAGTAATAGGCATTGTTCAGAAATAGACTATGTGAGGAGTTACCAGAATAGAGTACCTCTCCACTAGCAACCTGTCACTTGATCAGTTTGAAAACAGGCTGAAGCTTCCATCTCAGGCACCCACTTACCCAAATCCGTCCATTCACATTTGCCCAAGCCTTCTCCAACAAATTGCTTTTGTTGGACACAAAAGCTGACACAAAAGAAGACATTTAACTCCCAATCTCTCTTCACCATGCCCACACAGGCAGACTCCTGCTTCATTGCTGTGCCAGAGTAGGGGTTCAGAGTACAGTCAACATTTCTTTAAGCTGATATACTTTAGATCAGACCCCACACAGGGCCAGAGAAGCTTAGAGCTGCCATGAGGAATATGCCATAGAATGCCCTGCCATCAGCTGACTGGCAGGAAACTGAACACAAACACCTAAATGGCCCTGCCCATTTCTTTGAACACCATAAACAACTTTATTTTTACAAAAAAAAATATCATTAAAATCTGTCATTTCAGAAGGAAGTTTTTCCTTATCCTGAAATTAGTAATGAAGAATTGCAAGAAATCAATGACTTCGTAGCACCCGTGGAAAAATTCTTCCAGGAAGAAGGTACACTTTTATACCCTTCTCGGGACTTTTAAAAATCTTTTTCTGAAAGGCTTTTCATCGTGCGAAATATAAAAATGAAATATAATACTAACAAGGAAATGTCCAAGGTTGCTTATTTGTTTTTTTTTTTTGTTTTTTTGTTTTTTTTTTGTTTTTTAGCAAAAAGTGAAAATAGCAAGAATCATACTAAAGGGGTTTTGTTAATGCTGTGCTGGAACCTTCATTTGTACTTTTTTGAAAAAGTTATCTTTTTTCCCTCCTTTATTCTCTGCGTACTTGAAACATTGTTTCAAATGTTTACTGATGGCATTCTGGGACACATTTTTAATTTTTGAGGTTTATTTCTACCGAAGAGAAAAGTTCCTTCATGTTCTCCTGAAATATGGAAACCAGAATGGTTGTGAATAGCTAGAGAAATAATGCTAAAACAAAAGAAAGTATAATAAATCAGGGATGGGCAATTAACTTTCCCAAAGAGCCATATAAGAAACTGGGACTGTTGTGGAGGGCTGAACCAATAAGCGGAGCTTAATTCTGCTCAATGTTAATGTTACCACTTTATAAAAAGTCGCAAATTATATGGCTTTGATTAGCTGCTACCGCTAAGAATACGTGTTACATTTTATTTACATTTTATTTCTAATTTCCTATTGACCTCATGTGATCCAGAGAGAGATAGCCAAAGGGGCCGTAAAAATGACTAGGCCCGTCCTAAATCTTTTGCTAACTTCATAACTAAGTTTAAGTCAGTAGAATAGAATGAACCAGCTTGCTCCGGTTGTGATTGTTTGCTCAAATAACTTAACTCTTGAGTTATCTAATTATCGATCAGTTATTATAGTTTTCTTATGTTCATTAGTGGATTCTAAGAAAATTGATGAAGATGCTAAAATTCCACAAGAAACTCTTAATGGGCTGAAGAGTCTGGGCCTTTTTGGCATGCAGATACCCGAGGAATATGGTGAGTGAAAGTGAATGGGTTTTTTCTCTCTCTTTTGGATCAAGAAATACTTTGATCATTTACACATTTGTTTACACATATTTACATATTTTATTTTTTATTTTAATTTCCTCCTGTATTGATTTTTAATTATTTACCTCCAAGACTTGGGAATTGAAAATAGTTTTGTTTCCTTGTAGATTTAAATTTTCTATCTGTGTTTGAGCTGATGTAGTAGTGCTTGTTTCTCTGTGGTATTTTGGTGCTAGTAAAGTTGACATTTTCACTTACAGTTGTTATTACTAAGTCACATGGTTCAAAAAAACATGATTCTTTCTGGAAACCACTTAATACATTGTTACATAAATTAGCATATACAATCATAAGATGTTCCACATTTTTTTGCCTCTTGCCTAGACCTTTAGACTTACAAAGCATCGGTGGATACAGTAGTTCTGTAGTAGTAGAATAGTTTCATAGCTGGTAATGAAAGCACGATTATACAATAAGGCTTTAGAGTCTTCATGACAGGTGTATGAACACAAAACCCTATGTAGAGTTGCTTTATATTGGTGAAACAAAATGAAAACAGGTTTAAAATATTTATGAAAAACAACTGTGGACTTTGTGGACAGAAAGTTGGCTATATTTCTGTTTAGATGCTTAAGGGAAAAGACTAAGCTTTGTGTAAGATTCAGTTGCAGAACAGTGCTTTGGAGTTTATTGAGACAGGAAGACAGAACTTTTCTGTCTTCTCTTTAAAAGAAGTACCATATATACTTGCATATAAAACCATCTGTGGATAAACCAATCTCCAGATTTTGAAGCAAAATACCATAAAAATATGCCACCTGTGGACAACCCAATTTTTTAAATTTCTACAATTGGCTTACTTATAAGTAATCAATAGATTATCAATGAGGGAGAGAGAGAGGGACAGACAGACACTTTTAAAAAGTATTGCAGTATACACTCATGGATTAGCCCATCTGGAGATAAGCCAAGCACAATTGGGGGTGTATATGTGGTGGGGAAGGGTTGGAGCTAAAATGTTTACTTATTCACAATTATATAGGATATACATTTTTCCTGTCAATCTCAGGAGATGATTTACAGTTTTAAAGAGCTGCCGACAGGTGCAAAGACTAAGGCTACAACTGAAACACTGTATTTGGCAGTCCCAAACAGAGTCAATGATTTTTTTTTCCTTTGCTTTTATAAACGCGGAAAAAAGATCTTTAGAAAAAAAGATCTTTAGAAAAAAAGATCTCAATTGATTTAAAAGATTTTTTAAAACCACAAAGCAAATTTATTTAATTTTTGTGTTGTAGACAAATTTCTTTTGTTTGACCAAATCTTTTTCAGGTGGCCTTGGTCTTTCAAATACAATGTATGCCCGTCTAGGAGAAATAACTTCTCAAGATGGAGCCATTGCCGTAACTTTGGCAGCTCATCAGGCTATAGGGCTAAAGGTAATTTTTCCTTTATTAATGTATTAATTTGTGTTTATCTAATGTCATAAAAGTCAAATGTTTCAAATCTGGAGAAGATAAAAAATAATATACATATACATTATATACACTACACACACACACACACACACACACACACACACACACACACACACACACACTGACTTCTTGTGCATCCGTCATCTGACGTTGGCAATCATGTTGGCGATCCATAAATCTCTCTCTCTCTCTCTCTCTCTCTCTCTCTNCCCCTCAGGGAAAAGGGCGGCCTATAAATAAATAAATCTACAAATCTACAAATCTACAAAATAAGGCTTCTAGGGAAACTTTAACTATTCATTCTGATCTCTCTCTATATATCTATCAATCTACTATATGTCTGTCTGTCTATCCATCTATCCACCCACCCATTCATCATCTATCCATTTATCATGATCTCTCTATATTGCTATCATCATCTATCTATATCTAATATTAATTCGAGTTCAGTGAATAAGCAACATTGAGCATCACAAAGAAACTTATCAAGGCAGGTTTTTTGAGGAGGACAGCTTTTACTCCCCTCAAAAGCATAGGGATGTTACTCCTCTAACATTGCTATAGGTTTTAAAGGCAACAGGATAGTTTGTGTCGATCTCATTCTCCATCCAGCCTATAAGTGTTCTTAGCAGTGATTTCGGTGAGATTGGCTCAAAGGCAGAAAATCTTAGAACCTTTCAAATATCACTGAATTGCATTCTCACATAATTGTAGCATTGCATCATGTATGCCATATATGCCATTCAGTGATAATACAGATAGTCCTCAACTTACCACAATTGAGCCCCAAAATTATGTTGTTAAGTGAAACATTTGTTAAGTGAATGTTGTCCCATTTCCAACCTTTCTTGCCATAGTTGTTAAGTGAATCACTGCCAGTTGATAAGTTAGTAATGCAGTTGTTAAATGAATCTGCCTTCCCCACTGACTTTCTTTTGTCAGAAGGTGTCAAAAGGGGATCATATTACCTTGGGGCACAGTTAACGATCATAAATACTTGCCAAATATCTTAATTTTAATCACATGATCATGGAGATGCTGTTAAGGTTGTTAACTGTGAAAAATTGTCGTAAGTCACATTTTTCAGTGTCATTGTAACTTTGAACGGTCACTAATAAATCAAGGACTACCTGTACTGAGCAAAAGCTTCCCTTCTCAAAAAATGTTTCCCTGCCTAGATAGGTTTCTTTGGTGATGCCCAATGTTGGTTATTCACTGAACTCAGATTAATAAATTTAACATCAATCAAAACTGACCAGTATTCTCTGTAACCAAATATCTGATTTGGATTTGTAGGCAGATATACTGTAACTTCTACCAACCTAGCAGTTGAAAAGCATGTAAAAATGCAAGTAGAAAAATAGGGACCACCTTGGTGGGAAGGTAACAGGGTTCCATGCGCCTTTGTCATTTAGTCATGCCGGCCACATGACCATGGAGATATCTTCGAATAGTGCTGGCTCTTCGGCTTTGAAACGGAGATGAGCATCACTCCCTAGAGTCAGGAACAACTAGCACATATGTGCGTGGGGAACCTTTACCTTTTATAACCATTTAAGTATCTAGAACTGCCCTGGAATGGAATCTAGTGCCTACCTTCTCTATGAGTGTCAGGAGCCGGGTTTTGGACCAGAGGCTTTCGATAAAGCTCAAAATCAACATCCCGTTTGTCCCATCTCCATTTATCCCGATCCAGAACTGGCTTCATAAAGTTAGTATTGAAAAAATTCTCCTGCCATTTCTAAATGAAGTAAGGAATCATAATGAATGTAGCTATTTTATTTATATCCCATCTTTATTACTTCCACATATAACTCAGAAGGCAAACATACCTAATACTCCTTCCATCTCCCCATCATCTTTCTTTTAATTTTTTTTGTGACATCTTTGCCACAGATTGATTTGAAACAGAAACATGGGAAAATTTTCATCTGAAATAATGATGTTCAAAAAGCTTTTAAAAAACAAAACTATTGACATCTATTTAAATTGTCCTATTCAAAACCTTTTGGACCACTGCTCAGTTCTTATCGTCAGTTCTGTTTATAATTGTCCACCATTCTAATACACATGTACCATATCAAATTTATATAAGTCAAAACATGCTTTGGAAAACAGAAATAACTGATTGGAATAACTGGTTTCTGTTTACTATTATTGAAGAACCTTGAAATGACTATTAACCGTGATGCAAATCAAAAACTTAGTTTCAGGAAGTTTTAGAAAATCTGTTATTAATAGTTGAACTCCTTGTTCTATAGAAAATGAAGTTTTGAATAAAGTGAACAGATTTATCTGGGATAAGGGATGGGACATAAAATGCACCAGCAATTGCTGATGTAGGGTGCCATGGCCACTATAAAATAGCATGGTCCAAGTGAAACAAAAACCATAAAAAGGATAAATATTTATTTATTTAACAAATCTATATCTGATGCAACAACCAGAAAAATGCAGCATACTTCACTTAATCCTCCAAGAAAAGATTGAAGGCAAATGAGGTCCAGGCAGAAGAACAACATCATGACATCAAAATCTAAGGGACTGGTTTGGACAAAACTCACACTTTTTTGTCCAGTTGTTGATAAAAATAGGAGCACCAACATCCAATGACGGATATGGCACAAGAAGAAGAAGAAATGTATATGGCTGCCCCTAATCTAACTCTCTTCAATTTAAGGATCTTTGATATCTTTCATGGACAGATCAAGATATCAGTCTTTAGTCCTGAGCAATTATAATCATACAGGCAATGAAATACCAATTAGATTATGGAGATGCCTCATTACTGTTCTTATATGTTTAACGGCATAAACCTAGCTATGTTACCCATGCATTGTGTTTAGCCAGAAATAAATACTGAGTTTGCTGAGTGTTTTTCCTAGGAAAAACAACAAAGTATTTGTCTAAATCTTAATATTTCTGTAGATATTACTATCTGCAGAAGAATCTGAAATTAAACAATAAAAAAAACAGCTACCAATTTTCTCACTGAAGCAGCATGTCACTCCCTTTTCGTTTTATCCCTGCACTTAAGTAAGTGATTGAAGTGAAACAAAATTCAGGTGCAGTGTAAAGTACAGCTGCTCAAAACATAATACAGCTCTCAAGGTTAAAAATCATTAGCCAGTACTTTTAAAAATCATTTTATTTTAGCATTGTAAAAGATGCAACCTGTTCACAAGAGTAAGGGAAACAAAGAGAGACATACTGAATTGCATTGGACTCTAAATGTTAAAATGCTACACTAAATTTAGCAGTAATATTAGTCCAAATCAAGCATAGTCTGATAAAGCAGATGCTGTTGATCAGCTTCTCTGCAGAAATATGCCTTGTATCCTCACAACAATAAAAAAAAAGATCTATCAGTGACATTGGAGTGAATTTCAAGTCTACATTTAGTCTGCAATTAATCTGGCCTGGAAGCCATTTTTTTACATTGAGCCTTCAGGCCTGCCATGTTTTCTACTGTGGGAAAATGAGAGGTGGGATTATATAGAGTATGGAAGATATATATTCTAAATAAAATTCCTTTTTCAGAGTCGAGGACACCTTGCCCTGCACCTGGAGTGGTGTGACTGGGAGGAATTTCCAGTTGGGATGGTGCCTGATTGGATCATGTGATGGACATGTGGGTTCTGAGCAGGGACTTGAACTTTCACTTGGGTGGGGAAAACCTGGAAACTTTCAGACTTCAGAACTCTCTAATAAAATGGAACATTGAGGAACTTCAAGCCTCAGCGTCTTCTTTAGTTGGGGGTGTTACTTGGAACCTTGAAACTGGAAAAATATTAATTCTTGAATTTTCCTCACAATGTAGCAATGAACCATGCTGTTCCTAGTAGAAGATAAATATGACAAGTTGATAGGAATCTAAAATTTTCAATTACCTCTTTTAATTCAATCAATCGTGCCTCATCAGGTCTACGGGGATGTTTGTTGCTGTCTGCGCTGCTCTTAAATCCAGGAATTGCCATCCCTCCAGGATACAACCACAATTTCTTTGATTGTTCAATCTGTTCTTTTAATATAGCACCTTCATCCACTGGGTCAAACATGCCTGACAGATATTCATTATAAGCAAATCTTTTTCCTGGCATCTAAAAAAAAAAGCATATATATATAATTATAGTTATGGGGACGAGGTGGCTCAATGGCTAAGACACTGAGCTTGTCGATCCGAAAGGTCAGCAGTTTGACTGTTCGAATCCCTAGCGCTGTGTCACGGAGTGAGCTCCCATTACTTGTCCCAGCTTCTGCCAACCTGGCAGTCCAAAAGCACGTAAAAATGCAAGTAGAAAAATAGGAACCACCTTTGGTGGGAAGGTAACAGTGTTCCGTGCGCTTTCGGCCATATAACTACGGAGACGTCTTCGGACAGCGCTGGATCTTTGGCTTTGAAATGGAGATGAGCGCCATCCCCTAGAATCGAGAACAACTAGCACATATGTGCGAGGGGAACCTTTACCTTTATCTAATTATAGTTATATATGCACTCATACATATCTCCCCCTGAACTCTAGTGGAATTCATCACAGACCAAAGCAGAGAACAGCCTTCTCCAACTTGCTGTCATTCATACTTAAATGCTCATGCTTCTCAACCAACAAGGTCCAAAGATCTAAAATATAATGCTGGTCCCAATATATCTGGACAATATCACATTTGGGTGCCTTTGTCTGAC